ATAAAAGGAGGTGTGGATGGGAAGAGAAGGGGTGAGGGAGGCAGGGCTGTGTCGTTCGTCAGTCAGCATGACATCAATGATGATGCTCTACCCTGGCCTTGTCTCTTAACTTCCTCCCTAAGGTCAGTGGCCTTCAGCTAAGACACCCTTAGCTAAGAATTGGGGGTGAATAGGACAGGAGGAGGAGAACGAGAGGAGGAGCTGAAGGAGAGAGAGAGAGAGAGAGAGAGAGAGAGAGAGAGAGAGAGAGAGAAAGAGAGAGAGAGGAGAACATGGAGGCAGATGTTCTCCGCCAGTCAAAGACAGTTGGTATATCTAGGTTGGTTATTGGGTTACACTTCTGATTGTATGGACATCTTGTTATTGAGCATTACCAAACTTATAAAGCCTTTAATTAACATTTTTTTTAAAAAGTTACTAATAAAAAAAAAGATGAGGAGGGAGGGTGATGGAATACATGTGACAGGAAATCGGATGAGGAAACTAGCTGGAGGAAGAAAGGAAAGAGGCAGAGGGAAACAAATCAGAACTCTAATGACACATGTATGAGGATGCTGTAATAAAACCCAGTACATTGTATGTTAACTTAAAATACTAATAAAGAAAAAAAGCAAGAAGGAGGAGGGAGGATAGAATAGGGGGTTTCTGGGGGAGGGATGGGGAAAGGAGGTGACATCTGAAATGTAAATAAATAAAATATCCAATAGATTAAAAGAATTGGGGATGTTGCTGGTCACAGTGGCTCACACTTTTACACCGGCACATTCAGAGGCAGAGGTGTAGGAAGCCGCTACCACCATAGTGCCCGAGGCGAGACCAATCGCCATTACAAGATGGCGCTGACATCCGCTGCCCATCCCGATAAACAAGCTGTTGCACATGTGCGGGAAGTGAGCGTGCGCCAAGTCACAGCCCATCCTGGGGCGTTTTGGTGGGCAACGAGTAAGCAGCCAATCAGAAATGAACACGCCGCTCCAAGGGTATATAAACAGTGCCTTTCCGGGGGCCCGGGATCTTCCTCTTCACATCGCAATAAACATTTGCTGCGGAAGGATCCTGGTGTCCGCGTGCGTCTTGCTGGCGAGACAATTACACGCGGGTCACACAGAGGCAGGTGGATTTCTGTGAGTTTGAGGCTAGCCTGGTCTACATAGTTACATAGTGAGTTCCAGGACAGTCCCTATAGTGGGTATTCAGGATTTCATGAGCATATTGGATGGTAAGTCAATACACTGAGTATAGAGATGTCTAGTTTTTTATTATTAGCTATCGTCAATGTGAAAAATAATTATAAAAACATTTGTCCCTGAGGCATAATATGAATCACAATAATAAACCAAGATCGTTTTACTGGTATCCTTGAAAAAACTGGATTCTTCTGATAGAAAGTCAAAGTAACCCTACACATAAACACAGTACCAAAACCTTCAAGACCTACTAATTCCTGTGTCTTTCTTGGGGGCAGTCACCTTTACCTTGTGTGGCCTTTCATCTTTGTAAAACTATTTTCTCCTAAATCTTTAGACACCTCCTAAAGTCTGCAGCTTTGTTCTGTGGTTGAAGACACAGCTCAGACTTAGGAAGCTGAAGGCTACAGCTTTTCTTTGTTCAGATGAAGGTGAGTGCCACTCACGGAGGAGACTGATCGTCTCCACAATTTGTGACTGCACAGTGACATAGCAGTGTGGCTCTGTGGAACTGAACAGTTGTACCTGTGTTCTGTAAGCCACTTGGCTAAGCTAGTTCATGCCTGGGAATCATAGCCTGGAGGTGGGCAGGGGGAGCAGGCACTCACCCGTGTACAGTATGCCTTGAACTTCAGGCTTGCAGAAGAGAAACATCAGGAGCAGGGGTCACTGTGACTTGGTGACAACATATGGATTTATTCATTATCCCCCTGATACCTCTTCCACAGTCTCACTGGCCATCCAACGCTATTCTAACGTGAGGCATTGTTCTATCCCATTCTATTTATTCATTTATTCCTTAATGGATTTTGTTATTTCTTTTACAGACTCTTCAAAATCCAAAGGCTTCAAGGGAGACCAGATAACAACCCAAGTTGTTTGGGATAAGTCGCTCCGCTGTGGGAAGGTCCAGCATGGTGCAGGGAAGTTTCTACCTGAGGCTACTCTCTCTTCCCAGCCTGCTCACCAGCCTCCCTTTCATCTGTCTGAAAACTGCCATGCCTGATGCATTTAAAACTAAGACACTAACGCCTTCAAATGGATATCGGGTGGGGGACGGGGAAATGGGTGAATTTTCCTCCTGCACTTTATGTAAGGAGGTCTTGGGGTTTTGTTTTGTTTCTGTTTTTGTTTTTTCCTGGCTTTAGAGCTCAAACCCAAGGTGTTGAGCATGCTTTGAAATCACTCTACCACACAACGACTCTCCAGCTGCAGAGGATTTCTTAGCTGAGAGAATTCAAAACCAGGGCACAGGGGTATTTACCCAGGGCAGCTTAATTTAGCAATCTCAGGACACTTCTTTTCCACCTTGAATGACATCTGTAAGATCGCCTGAGCTGCTTTGGCATTTAACTTCTGAAGATCACAACATAAAACTCTCCAAGTCACAGGGCTTAAATGTCCGTTCCCTTAGCTTTGCAGTCTCTAGCGAGGTAGGGTGCATATCTCCTCATAGGGGGGAGGAGAGAGGCATACACAGTCCTCCTCTTCCGTCTGCATCCCTTCTAGCTGGTCAGCATCAGAGCTGGGCCTGAAACATGAGCACAAAACACAGGTGTACTTGCAGACCCATTGCCACTACACTGCGTGGCAGGCTGCACAAAGATTTACCGTCCCTATCACCTGCCTGGAAGTCCAAACATGGCCACAAACCATAACTGTGATGCAGCACGGGAGGAGGGAGGGAGGCATCCCAGGACCCAGCGTACCTGTCATGACCAGCACCCACGAAAGGAGAGAAGCCCTCGCTCTCCACAAACGCCGCATTGTCTTGAGGATAGATGGTGTAGTACTGAGGGGGACTTGGTGTGGCAGCCACTGCGCCGCTAGAAGGTACAAGACCACAAGGGTTCATCATGGGCTGCAGGTAGGTGGCGTTCATTCCCAGGGGCTCCTGAGAACCATAAGGAGGAGGGATATACTGCACCACCGTGGCCCCGTGGAAGGTGATGGGCTGGTTGATGCCGGTGAAAACGAATGACTGTCCTCCGGAAGTCTGCTCCGAATCCGGGACCCTTTCCTCGTTATCCAAGCACAACTGGCAGGATAGCATTTTGAATTTGCACACAGAGATCAGCATGAATGTCACTCCGACCGACAGGAGGATGGGTCCGAGGAGCTGGGTCCACTCAAAGTGGGAGACACCCTGGTACTTGATCCAGCCCATGACAGTGAACGTGATCCCCACCAGTCCTAGAAAGATGCCCGAGAAAAGCAAAGTGGCCCCTGCCTTGTCGTCGTCGGACACCTGGATGTCCGCGGTACTGGGTGTGTACGGAGTGACAGAGAACACGTTAAGTGGGAAGTCCTCTGGGCGATTACTGCTGTGCTCCATGGCTCCTCACGCGACTGTCCAACATGAGAGAAAACAGAGACTGAGAGCAGGGAATGCAGGCTCGGGTTAGTTAGAGAAGGACCTTTGGGCTTCCGTGGTTAACAGAGTATAACATGCACAGGGCTGAACTTTGTTTAAAAGAATAAAGGTCCAAGAAATGACGCCTGAAGTTTGGTTGTAGGTTTCCAGAAAGTGGAGGTCTCTGCTTTATGAAACAATAGCAAGCTGTCTTTCTACTTTATGTTCATTCATTCATTCAGACAGATGATGATGATGGTGGTGGTGGTGGTGGTGGTGGTGATGACAGCAACAGCCACACTTCTCAAGCCACTGTCACGTTGGGAGGTGCTTTTTCTATAGTCACTCATGTGCTGTGGTCCTGTTTCTGCCCTACCAAAGCAAGGTTTCTGCAAATGGCAGCGCTGCCAGCAATATGGAGGGAGTTCTTGGCTTACATATCTACCACCCGCTTGAAGCCCGACTTTGGTCTGGGCCGGTTCATCAGAAACAGGTCCATACACTGGATTTCTAGACTTAACCATGGAAGGAGTCTCCACTGCAGATGATGACTCTCTTAGGCCATTTTCTAACAAGAAACCACAGGCTAAGTTGTTTACATAGCAAAGAGAGTTATTTTTTTTCTCACAATCCAGAGGTTTCTGGGGCCGATATCAGCATGTTAGCATCTAGTGAAGATCTCCTTTCTGTCCCATCCCCAGACCCAATCTGATGAGAACACTACGGTCTATCAGCCCATATCTCTCTTCCTCTCAGAAAGATATCAATGCCATCATGGGCCCCTCCCCGACTGCCTACCTCATCCATCCCCAATTATGTCCCAAAGGCCTGACGTCCAAATACCATTGCTGCATGAATTCAGGGGATGAGTAAAACACAGCCTTGGAATCACACTCAAGACACAGCAAAACTCAGTCCTTAATGTCAGCTCTCTACAGGGCTCTGAGAAGCTGTTAGGCCTTGGGCTGGGGTCCATGTTTTCCTAGCTCTCTGCCCCTGGGGTATACGCCAGTGCTGGGAAGGAGATCACACCCTGGGAACAGTTTCTGTGTGCCACGCTGCTGGCACACATCTGACGGTGTGAGCGTCAGATGTGGTGAAATGTTGCCTGGACACAGGCTTCGGGCCCTGTCTCTGGTGGCTGCACAGTTCCTAGTCACCAAGGTGAGGCAGACAGCTGCCTTTCTAAACCTACCCTGTTTTGCAACCAAACCCAAGTAAAGAAGACAGCCTGATCCCAATGATATTGTCTGTCTTTTATGACTGACTATACAATTTTCAAACGGACCCGTGAACTTCTTCCTCCACTGAGCAGCAACTCTGGTCTTGTTCCTTTCCTGGACAGACTTTGTCCAAGCAACACCCCCCTCTTCGGTGGTTAAATATTACATCAGCTTCCTTCTGCAGAGGTGACAGAGCTGCCCTTTGGTCCCAGGCAGCCTTCCTAAACTTCCTCTGATAACAAAACTCACACAGGCCTCTATTTTCTTTTCCATAGGTGCTGGAGATGGAGGCCAGGCATCTGTCACACAAGGTTAGGTAAGGGCTTTATGCTTAGCTACATCCTCAGCCCTGGGCTACTTTTTAAAAGAGGAAGATTGAAGCTCCAGCACAAGCCAACATACCTGAACTATCCAAGGAAGAAATTCACTAAGTGCCTATGACAGTTAATCTTCACCCACAACTTGACCAAACAGGAGACGCAGCTCTGGGTGTGTCTAGGAGGGTGTGTGCAGAAAGAGTCAAATAAAGAGGGAAAATCCACCCTGAATGTCATGACACAAATGAAAAGGAGGGAGAAAGGGAGGGAGGGAAGGAAGGAGAAAAGGCCAGAGAGACATCTCAGCAGTTAGGAGCATGCGCTATTCTTGCCGAGGACCTAGGTTTGGTTCTCAGCACCAAACAAGGCAATTCACAGTCATCTGTAACTCAAGTGTCAGGAGATATGATGCCTTCTTCTGACCTTCCTGGGCACTGAGTATATATACACCATTCAAGAAAAACACTCATACATATAAAAATAATGATACAATAAATCTATATTTTAAGGAGAAAGTGAGCTGAACACCGGCCTTCATCTCTCTGCGCCCTGACTGTGAATGCCACGTGACCAGATGGTTCACACTCCTGAACACCTGCATTCATCTCTCTGCACCCTGACTGTGAATGCCACATGACCGGATGGTTCACACACCCACCGCACCTGTCCCTGCTTTGATGACTGTGTACCACCAAGCTATGAGCCAAAATAAACACTCCTTCCTTTAAGTTGGTTGCTTTTGTCAGAAAAGTGTAACCCAATTTAATTCCAAACAAGCAGAGAGACTTGCTTCTACCCATCCAAATGCCTGTCTTTGCTAAAAGACATAGCCTAGGGTCTCTTCACTGTCAAGGACGTGGAAAAAGTGGTGTGGTGGCCTCAGAGTTTCTTAAGGAACCTCCAGACAGCTGAGGTTGGGCCTTCTCAGGGTGGATGTAGAAGGGTGTGTCTTTCTCACTAAGATAGATGAAAGCCCCAGACTCCACAGACACGGACGAGGCAGCTTTCCAACAGGTGCTTACGAGGCTCTGAAACCATGAGTTAACCGTCACTATCATCTCCACCATTGAGAGATGCTCAGGCCCTGAAGACTGTTCTTCTAAAGCATATGTATGTTTCCGATTTGTCTTTAGTTATAACGTACACCACATATTCACAGGATGCTGTAACTAGTTACTCGTCTCAATGCTGTGACCAAATGCTGGACACAAATAAGCCTGAATCACTCACAGTTCAAGGGTACAATCTGTCATGGGGGAGGGGAGCAGCTTCCACAGTTTGAGGGTACAGTCCGTCACGTGGGGAGCAGCTCTCAGCTGGGACTCTTTACCGCCAAAATCAGGGGTGCGAGCTCCCAGCTGCAATGCTCCCTCACTCCCCTACCCCGCCTCTTTGTTCAACCCAAGAGTCCAGATTAGGAAATAGAGCCCACAGCTCCTGCCTCGGTTAAACTTCTCTGGAAGCATTCACATATAGACACTATCAACTTTAACCTATGGTGAGGTGTCAAACACTTACTGATAATAAATCATAAATAACTTTATTTTAAAACAAGGGTTTGGTATAGGTATAATTTTACCATCTGCTAAAAAGAAAAACCAATTTGCATACAAGTGAAGTGGGTTGCTTATTTTTACATAAAGAATTAAATTTTGATTGAATGGTTGGCTCTGCAGGACATAGAGCATCTCGTATTTGTCTGCATTGATTGACAATTTGATTTTATAGTCATCAGTGCTGGGGACACTGCTTTGCTTACAGTTATGCTGAGGACAATTTCGATTAAAAAAAAAATCTGTCTGAATTCCAAGCCAATACTGATTCAAAAACATTTTTTTATCAAGCTCAAGTCAGTCATTCTAACACAGTATGAACTAAAGATATAATCATTTCATAATTATATGCAGAAAAGTAATGGAAGAGCAATATTAAATGTCACCATATTCCATAACCCAATTATGTTTTTTCTATAAGAGCAGAAAATGTCCTGTATGCACAGCAAAGCTACTGTAGTTGATACCGTATGACAATCTAGACTCTGAGCCTGTCATGAAGCGGGTGACAGAATAGGTGTTCGGAACCAAGGAGCAGTGGCGTGGAATAATACAGCCAACGTGGGGCAGAGCCGCTGGGCACTAATCAGATCTACTTTGCTTTTAATTTTGAGTTAGTGGTTAAGCATTGTGCACTCAGAAACATTAGCCAAGTTTTTCACAGCTTCACAGGCAGTTACATGGCCTCAAAAGCAGTCACATCCTGAAACTTACACTGTGCTCTGAAAGATTGACAGCTCACAAACGTTGGGTTTGGTTGGCTGGGTGGTTGGTTGGTTGGTTTTTGGAGTGGGGAGGGGGTTAAGTGAGTAAAGCCCTCACCACACAAGTTTGAAAACCTGAGATCCTTGGCACCCAAGTAAAACCAGCCATGAGAGTGTATGTCTGTAGTCTCAGTATTTCTACAGGAAGATGGAAGACAGAGTCGCTAGGAGCTCATAGGCCAGATAACCAGGCATACAAAGAAGCAAAGAGACCTTGTCTCAAAAAAAGGCAGAGGGTAAAGACCAACATCTAAGGGTGTCCTCTGATCTCCACAAATGTTCATTAGCACACATGCTAATTCATCATGGGAACCGCAGCTCCCACAGTTTGAGGGGACAGTCCGTCACAGGGATGAATGTACCCACATTCACACACACAAACATGTAGACACATATCATACAAACATATTTACACATCTTACACCTCCCTCCCTCCTCCATCTCTCTCTGTTTCTCTCTATTTCTCTGTCTCTCCATCCCTCTCTGTTTCTCTGTCTCTGTTTCTGTCTCTTTCTCTCTGTTTGTGTGTGTGTGTGTGTGTGTGTGTGTGTGTGTGTGTGTGTGTCTAGTTCCCAAATAGAATGCTTTTGGGAGATTCTAGAAACTTTAGAAATGGGAGCCTAGCTGAAGAATGTAGGTCTTTGGGAGCAGGTCCCTGGAGGCAGGCCCCTGGGGACAGGTCCCTAGGGGCAGGTTCCTAGGGGCAGGTCCCTGGGAACAGGACCCTAAGGGCAGGTCCTTGGGGGCAAGTCCTTGGAGTGTGATAGCCTGACTTCTGTCACTCTTGGCTTCTTGTTTAACCAGTCAGAGAACAGCTCTTATCTATCCCATATTGCCGCCACTATGATGTCCTACCCAAGTGTAGGGACCAAGAAACCATGGACCAAACCCTTTGAAACCAGGAGCCAAAAGCAATCTGTTGTTCTAGAAGTTTCTCTCTAGTATTGATCATAGAAACACAAAAATGCCAACATTACACCAACGCTGGAATTCTTATGATTATTAAATACAGTTTCAAGTGACTGACAACCTTGGTGGCCAAGTCCATCTCCTGCCTCAACTTTCAAACTTTTCCTTTTCTACATGCAATATAGTATTCAATACTCCCACATATAAATCACATATAACTTTAATCAAACTTTCCCTTACAGTAATTATTTGAGACTATTGAGCATTAAAACTTAAAAACTATTTTGAGCTAAATGTGTTTTGTGAGCAGCCGTTGTAAGTAAGGAGAGTATCCATAATTTGACCCTTTTGTCTGAAAAGACAGTGCTTTACTACGGAGATAGTAATTAATCATGGGTATGCAAAGGCTGCCTGTTTCCCACCTTGTGTCTGTTTCACATCTGTCGAACTCACCTACACCTCCTGACACACTATTTCCTTTCAAACAAAATTTTCCTCCCTTAAATTAAAAAAAAAAAAGCCCAAGTCAGCAGAGTACTGTGCATCTGCAGTCGTGCAGTCATAGCACGCGGGGGAGGGAGGAGATGGCAATCCTGAAGCCACCGAGCTACACAGTGACACCTACTCCAAAAGGCCACAGGAAGACAAAAAAGGAAAGAAGTTAGGGGGAGGGATGAGAGATAAGGAGAAGAGACAAAAGAAAAACACCTAGGCAGACTTTGGGTTACATTCTCAATGAGTACAGGAGCTACCGAAGATGCTAAGACCCCCATCCTATTGAGAATGCCTTCCCATTGTTGTCTGGCCAAGCATTGCCCTGTCTTCACAGAAAGCATGTGTGGAAGCTGCCCTCTTAAAGGGGGGTGAGGGGTGGGGTGGGTGGCCTCCTCTTCTGTCTTCAGTTCCAAAGACAAATGGAACCCAGTGTACTAACAAGAAATACTTACAAGGAACAGACTGATGGAGACCACTTAGCAAATAAACCATTTGGCAAGATAACCTGGATCTGTTTTGCATACATTTTTAAAACATCTATAAAATGGCTACATTATTAATGTCTGTGCATTTATGGAAACATTAAAAGTTTCTATAGTCTTTTGCAAAGCTTCAAAAACAGCTGCTGAAGCGTACTAAAATGCACCTATGAGATGTCCAGCAAGGTGGCACCTGCCTGTAATCCCAGCACTCAGGAGGTAGAGGCAGAAGGAAGAATATTTCAAAGTCATCCTTGGCTATTTAAGGAGTTTGAGGCCAGCCTGGTCTAAACAAGACCCTGCCCTAAGCAAACAAAACTGTACATTTTGGTGAGAACTAGCTTTTCATTTTGTCTGCCCTTTACCTAAGTCTTTCTTTAGATACATGTGGAGAGCAGGGTCTCTTCCTTTGTAAGGAACCAGTTCCAGATGGTGTTTTATCTGCTGAGTTACTACGGCTTACACCAGGATGGACTCACCCATTGCCTTTTTCACATAAAGAGATCACATTAACTTTACGATCCTTCAGCTTTCTTTTCTTTTTGTTTATGTCATTCTTCCACAATTCTTACACTTTAACTCAATACTTTGACAAGAATTAATGGTGCAATTACGGCTGGGAGTGTCTCAGATAAGAACTGAGCCACCGAGAATTTAGCTGCTTCATCTCACAGTCATAAAATCCAGAATCTGAATGAGAATTCAAAGCCATCAGCTATTTATAGTGTGGTAAAGTATATTTTGGCAAGAGAGAGAAAACAGACACCTTTTAGTGTAATTAGGAATATGACAGAGCTGGAGGCTAAAAGTCCTTTCTCTGTGCTAGATAGTACTCTGACACTGCGAATGATCCCGAGTCCTCTTCGCTTTTTATCTTGAGATGGATTTTGAATTCAGCATCATTGCCCAGCTTAGATTTGAGTTTTGCAGTCCTCCTGTCTCAGTCTCCCAAGAAACTGGAATTACAGATTACACCACTAGACCCCAATTAATCCATCTCTGTCTGTCTGTTTGTCCCTCTCTGTCTCTGTATTTATCTCTGCCTCTCTGTCTCTGCCTCTCTCTCTATCTCTCTGTCCCCCCACCAAGAGGTGACAACCTGAATTATTTTACTATAATGTATGTATAAATATACTTATGTATGGTGTTGCATATGGCTGAGGCAGGAGAATTATGAGCTTCAGCCCAGGGTGGGCTGTATAATTAAGCTCTACCTCAAAGTGAAAGGCATAGAGGGAGGGGAAAAGAGAAATAATATATTATGGCCAAACTATTTTCTATCCCTAGAATCTTATTGGAGATAGAAGTTAATACAAGCATTGTGCCCCAAAAGCAACATCGTGTGGCCACATTTGCATAAGATATTGGAAGAGAAACTCGAAAGCAACTTCGAAACTCACTCATTATAAAATAAAGAGAATTACTCATAAAAAATAAATACACATATGTATATCATAACATTCCTTTTAAACTTTATTTTTATGTGAATGGGTGCTGGCATGTGTGTATGTCCATGTACCACTTGCAT